GGGAACTTCCCAGAACATTGTATTGTGCCACGCCCAACAGAAATAACCCAGGTGGGCGACTTTAAAATCAGGATCTCCTCCGTAGCTAATAGCAATTCCCACCTTAGAGTTTACAAAGACTTATGGGTAGAAAAGCCACACTAAGTAATTTACTACACCGCAGCCATGTTCTATTTTTGTTTTCTGAATTACATACCATATAATGAGAGTTTTTATAAAAGTAGAGGAAAGTTGAATAACATAACGCATAGTCATTGAGACCTCCCTTTTCTTTCTTCACAATTAAATTTCTGTTTTCCTTTGGGTATGGAGTGGAGGGAAGTGGGAGGGTAGCCACATGTTTAAAGAGAATTTTTTTTTTTAGTTGTGCTTTAGGTGCAAGTTTATAGAGCAGCGTTTGTTTTACATTCAACATTTTGTGTACATTTGGTTTCACTCAATTGCCATCCCTAACCCTAACCCACTCTCCTCCCCTCCCTTTCCAGTAAACTGCACCCCTCTGCCCTGTGCCCCTCATAGTTATGCACTCCTGTGTGTCCTGCATTTCCTCTGTGCAAATGTTGCCTCTCTGGTGCCCTGTGGTTGATTGCTCCAAGGGATGCATCTCTGTAGAGTATGTGGGTGTGTCACCCTGGGTTGAATGGTCTGCATGTACATTTTGTTTACCATTGGGCTGAGAGCCAGCCCTGGGAGTGAGTTTTATTCTATTGCAGGCCCGAAGTGTATCCCAGGACCATAGTATCGGGGGTCTCACCAGACTCTATTTGACCAATAATTCTGGTCATTATGATGCTTTTGGATTTTGTTCCATGTGTTTAAAGAGAATTTGCAGGAGTTAGAGATAAAAATAAGAATTTGAGTATTCCTGCTTTTACACCCATATTTGCCTGCAAATGATGATTTGGATTTAATTAGTTATTGAACTAAAAATAGGACACATGAAGTAGGTGACTGGAGTGTGGGAACTATTTTTGCTGAAGTCTATACCTAAGCAGTAGAGGCTTGGATATTGCTAGTCCTTCCCTGACTTTCTTCACAAGTTGCTTGGTTCCTCATGTGACATTCTGAGGTTGGATGGCAGACCACAGAACATGCTGCTGCTTTGCAGAGCTGACTTGAACTGTAAGCACTTTGTCATGTCCAGTTCAGGTTGCACAGACTACAAAGCAAGTGTCTCGTGTCCCAGCTAAATGCATTTCTTTGTCGATGATGGTCACATGCTTCCTGAAGACTTCCTGAGTCAAAAAATGACTAACTTTTCTCAGCTAAATAAACTGAGCAAAATAACTCCTGAGCATTGGGATTTTGTATCCAGTGCTATTTTTACCCTATATGTGGGTATTATTTTAGGAAATTTCAGTAATTACCTCCCTCATTCCATCTAATATTAAGCCACATTAAATAACAAAAGGTAACAGTTTTACTTATCAGTAGCTGCTAATGTATGATATTGAGTGAATTGCTTTAGTCTTCCAGGGGCTTAGTTTTCTCACTTGTAGAATAAAAACTTAGCTCCTAGCTAAGATGGGATGAATCTTCAGATATGATGAAACTAAGAAGATGTCCATCTAGCTCAGTGCTCTGGCTTTTTATTTGTTTTGAAAATTTTGTCTCACATATTATCAAAAGATAGGCAGATGGGTGTAAAGGGCCTTTGTTGAACATAATTTATTAAGAGTCAAGTCAAACATCAAGAAATGTTAACCAAGAGTCTATTAGGTGCCAGATACTAATGTGCTAAATGTCAGTTGCGGGTGAGTTGACTCATGATAGCTGTGTGTGTGTCAGTGTAGAACTGGGTTCAGTGTGGTTTTCAGTGACTGATTTCTCTCCTAAGTCCATCACTTGTGTGGCACCTCTGGGTGAAGCTGAATTCCAGCCTTTTGGTTAGCAACTGAGCATGTTAAAGGTTTGCACCACCCAGGGACTCTATTACTATGTGAGGTGCTAGGATTGCATGATGCCCAGGTTGGCCCATGCTCCCAGACTCTTGTTGTTGTATGCCATCATGTTGATTCCTACTCAGAGTGACCCTGTATGACAGGTAGAACTGTTCCATGGAGTTTCCTAGGCTGTAATAGTTTGGATCCCCAGGTCTTTTCTCCTGTGGAGACATTGGTGGGTTCCAATATCTGACTTTTTGGTTAGCAGCCAAACACTTAACCATTGCACCACCAGGGCCCCATGCTTGCAGCCTAGTGGGGAAAACAGGATGACTCTTTTTGTTTGAGCTCTGGCAAAGACGTTTGGCTTTATTGGAGGGGTTAGGCCTAGCTTCAGGAAAACATTTTACTTCATTTAAAAGCATAAGGATTTTTGTTGTAATTTCAGATAAGTAAGAACAAATTGTAGTCTAAGTAGATATTTCAGCTTTTCTCTTTCATACTTGTTAAAACCGCAGATTCACTTTGGAATGTCTAAATGTGTCTTTTTGGTCTTCTAATGTATTACATTATTGTTGTTGTCATCTGGTTCATTCTAGTCAATTCCAACTCATGGTGACCCTGTGTGTTACAGAGTAGTACTGCTCCATTGGGTTTTCTTGGCTGTAATCTTTTATGGAGGAAAATTGCCAAACCTTTTCTTCCATAGTGCTGTGGGTTAAAACAAAAATCATACTAAACCAATAATAGAAATTGATTGAAGTTTATTTAATATACCACTTGGAAATTGGGGTAACATTTACAACCTAGACAGTCAAAGAAGAAAAATCTTTTACAGATTCTCCAGTTTTACCAGATACTCTAGTTTATCACGAGTAATTGTACAGTGCCATGGAAGCAGGCTTAGAACAGTGTCCACATAATAACTCGTGGATGTGCAACGTTTTCTTGAAGAAAAATTACTGATTCACCTTAAAACATAGCTACTAGTCTGACCTTTGAAGTTTATATTGTGGGTAATTGTTTTAAGAAAAGCATAGTTCCCAGGGTAAAATGTTCTTTACTGATTCACTGGACTATTGTTTGACTTAAAGGTGACTTTAGGAAACCAGTTTTCACAAGGCTCAAGGTTCAGAGATCATCTCAGGTGGTAGCTTGGGTGGGTTACTAGAACTAGAATGAAAAACTCCATTCCTCAGATGGAGTGCAAGCTGTTTGTGCCTCCCATGTGTTGCATAGTTCACTGGAATTGTGAGAAACTCCATAATCTCACATTCTTCAAAGGATTTTGATATTTAAAATCAAAGCTGGTAATTCTGATGCTTCTGAATGGAATAGAATGCCCTGTCTAATCTACACATTGATTAATTAATATGGAAATGATTGTACACAGATGGGGTCTGGGCAAGTGTGCATTTGTCCAGACAGTGTTGAGTTTCTGTTCACTCTTACTTAGTAATGTTTACCCTTTCCCTGAACCAAGATTAGACTTGATCAGCAAAGCCGGTGGCATTCTTCCTTCAGCGTGTGCCCTGCAGCATGTGTCTGAAGACCTTTTTTCTGTCTCTGCAACAGATTATCTTCAAAACTAGGGCGGGAAATGCATGCTGATAGCTCTTCCCAGCTCCCAGCCTCAGATGGCATCTCCTCTTTATTATAGGTAACCTCTGGTGGGACAGAAAGCATATTGATGGCCTGCAAAGCTTATCGGGACCTGGCCTTAGAGAAAGGGATCAAAAATCCAGAAATGTATGTATTTGTGGCTGTTTTTTCCCCCCATCTGAGATTTGTTTGTTTAGGAGTACTGCATATGAAACTGAGCCTGGCTGTCTGGTTTTTTGCCTTGTTCTCTTCCTCTTGAAACTTTCAGTCGTCTTTCCCCCTTGTCTTGCCCCAGCAACAGACTAGGAGAATGGACCAACTGCAAAAACGGCAAGGAGGCCACATCTTCCGACCTCCTCTAACCCTACAATAGGAAGACAGGATTACCAGCAGTAACCCAAGGCCTATTCCTGTGAGGCCAGACATGCTGCCTCCCTCCAGCCCTTTCACCAACTGTTCCTCCCAAAGCACCCACCACCTCTCCTCTGGGTTCGGTAATTCACTGCAGTGGCCACATAGAACTCACGGATTATGGGGTTTATTAGGGAAGCACCAGGCTACAACTCAAGTTCAGGAAGAATACTCAGTCTCTCTCCCAGCCCACCATCCCTCAGCCAACAGTCTCTCACAGTCTCTTTCCCAGCAGTGCTGGTCCCTCGGTGTCTCACTCAGCGATGCGTGTCTCTTTCCGGGGTGCGTGTCTCTTTCAGCAGCACGTCTTCCTCAACCAGCAGTCAGAGAGAGTTCTGCCTCTAGGAGGTCTCCTTTTGAGCCCGGCAGGGTGGTCAAACTAGCCAATCATAGCATCAGAACTCTAAGCACGTAAGAGAGAGTGGGCACCTCCCAGAACATTGTTTTGTGCCACTCCCAACAGAAATACTCCAGGTGGACAACTTCAGCAATCAGAAGCTCCTAAGTTGCTCATAGAAAATCCCACCTTGGAGTTTACAAAGACTTATGGGTAGAAAAGCCACACTAAGTAATTTACTACACTGCACCAACCTTCAACCCATTCTGCAAAATTCTAAATGGACACCAACCAGCTAATTTTAATGATCATTCCCATCCTAGGTTTATAAATGACACATACTTGAAGCAATAATGAAATCCTTTTTCCAAAAGTGACGTGGAGTTGGAGGACTACATTCGCGAAGCCTTTGTTATTCATTATAAATTGCCCAGAGTCTGAGGAAAGCTCTGCCTCTCTTAGGTCTGTGAAAGTTGCTTAGATAGGATACCCCAGGGTGCTCCCTCGGAAGGTTGCAGCCTGAGCACTGACTGACTTCTGGGAAGAAAAATAAAAAATGTTTTCTTGAGTTAGATCCCTATTGCCAACCCATGGACATAATTTTGGTGTTTGGTCACATTTGTGCAGTTTATCTACATCTTGTGGATTATTTAATGTCTTCTTCACAAGTGTCACTGACTGGGAATTTTATGGCACATGGTCTCATGCTATGATTCATATTTAGTCTAAGAGAGTAAAATCAGCTACCAACTTTGTGTATATATAAATTTTTGGTGCTTGGATCCTTACTCAGTAATAGAAATTTTTTCCCTTAAAGGGAACAAGTTGTCAAGTGGAGTAATTGAGGGAAATCTGAAAGCAAATATGACTCGGTCTCTTCTTTTAACACTATTTGGAATACTATTTCCCAAAGTGTAGGGGAAGTGGGGGTTTTAGATCCTCAGAGGATCATGGTCCTTCCGAGTTGAAAGGGAGCTTGGATCTGATGCTGACTGCTGCTTTAACCTCCTTGCCAAGCAGTCTTAACATTTTCTCCTCGAACATGTGTCAGGAAGCTTGCTTCCCATTGAAGGCACCTGTCCTTGGCTACCCAGGCATTCTAAAGCTGTACCTTAGATTGGTCCATATTCTCTGTTCTTTAACTTTCATATGTTGGCCCTTGTTTACCCTTGGGATCCCTTGATCTGGGATTACTTCTGAGTTCTCCCTCCTTTTGCCAAAATGATTCTCCAAATAGTTGGCAGAAGATTTCCATGTAAAATCAGATGACCACATTTTGTTTTTGCTTAAAAAGAAAAAGAAAAAAAAAACACTTTACTCCTGGTGACTTAGATCAGCTGCTAACTGGGTTCTCTCTTAATTCCTCTTTGGGTCTGAATTTCATTGTTGCCTTCTCTGTTGTCTAGGGTGGTCCCCCAAAGTGCTCATGCTGCATTTGACAAAGCAGCCAATTATTTTGGGATGAAGATTGTACGGGTTCCCCTCAACAAAATGATGGAGGTGGATGTGCGGGTGAGTTCCCCAGAAGGGACTGTTGTCTCTCTCGGGCTGTGAGAAGCAGGAAATGCATCTAACTGACTGGCTTTTCCAGTGCCACACTCAACAGATAGGGTCAAAGGGCCTTTGATTGTGGCATCTGGAATATTGAAAACTGTCACTGGCATTAGTGATTGATTGCACCTTCAGTGTTTTCAGGGATTCATAAACTCGAATAGGGATATGATCTGGTCCCTAACCTGGGTCTTTAAAGACCTGGGTTTTGCTTTTGAAACCATCCCTTTCTTTTCTCCATTAGCAAAATGAGCACAGACTGACTTGCCCCCAGACTCTCACTGTGGTTTTGATTGGCCTGGATTAGTGCCGTTTTCTTTATAATAGTAATTCTTTTTATGCCTTGCATTTGTGTAGAAGAACTTTCCAGTTTCCAGTGTGCTATCACAATGACATTTGAGCCTTAACAACAGTGCAGGGAGGTTGCTGAAGCTATCGGTATTATTGCAGTTCACAGATAAGGAAACAGACTGAGTGTAGTTAAATAACTTGTGCACAGTTTCACTGCTGGTACGTGGGCTGGAATGTATATTTGGCCCTTTTGCCTCCCAGCCTGGTTTTCTTTTCACCCCCACAGTGATTATACTGTTCTGATATTGTCCCCTCAAATAATTTTCCTCACATGGACCCATTGGGGTGTGTTTGCATTCTGCTGCAGTGCTGTGGGCTTCTCCCAAGTTGGAGCAGTGAAGGAAGTGGAATGTGAAGGAAGTGGAATGCTAAGCTAGTAGCCCTGATTGCTCTTGGCGGCAGATGAGGATAGCGGTGATGTGGATTCTCATTTCCCCTAAACTTTGAATTCCTAGGCCATGAGAAGAGCCATCTCCCGGAACACTGCCATGCTCGTCTGCTCTACCCCCCAGTTTCCTCATGGAGTGATAGATCCTGTTCCGGAAGTGGCCAAGGTACACAGAGAAAGGGGCTACTTTGGCCACCAGATTGGGATTTTAAAATAGAATCCACTGGTGCTGTGCTTGGCAAATAGAAGCAATTTTGATTTTAGGTTTGACCTCAGGGGTGGTGAGTGGCTTTCAGCAGCCCTGAGGTAGGCCCTGCGGTTCTGTGTAAAGCTTCTGAAAGTCACTAGCTTCTGTTCTTGGGGAGGAATATTATAAGGAAGAGGCCCTTGTTGAAACTGGTTATTCTGAAATCATATTGACATTTAGCTTTGGATCAGGATATATCCACACTTGGGACCCTGCCCATGAGAGGATGGTATTCATAGGCTGCTCACAGCACCTCTTCCCTCTGCATTTACTAAAGCAGGACCCTCCCTTTCCAGAGGTAGCCTCCATCTGAGCGCCACCTACTTCCTACTTGATTTTGCAGTGACTTTGAAGCCATGCACGTTTAAATATAAAACAGATACCATACATTTCAGATGAATTTTGAAGACTTACTGCATTTGAAAGATGAATGTAAAAATGTATGAATTTTTATACATTGATGAATGGGAATGTAAAAATGGTCAGGTTTTCAAAAAAAAAATCATGGGAGACATAGTACAAACTAGCCTTGTATTGATAGCCCACCTTTCTACCTGTGTCTTTGTAAAGTTTTTATGATAATGCTACAAATGGAGTCTTCTGTCGTCTTTGTTTTTTGGAACTAGCTGGCTGTCAAATACAAAATACCTCTTCATGTGGATGCCTGTCTGGGAGGCTTCCTCATCGTCTTCATGGAGAAAGCAGGCTACCCACTGGAGCAGCCATTTGATTTCCGAGTGAAAGGTGTGACCAGCATTTCAGCTGACACTCATAAGGTGAGCCAAGCAGTGTTCATCGAAGTAGCCAGTTGATTATTTTGACCAACAAAAACAACTGGCTAAAGCATTACCTTCCCCTAAAATATGAAATTAAATCATCTAGCCATTTGCTCTCACCAGAGCAGCTGGTTCAGGTGACCAGTACAAGAGGTGGAGGGGATGGGGTACAGTGAAAAGGAACCTACTACCTTTATCTTAACATTGGTTAAGAGACTATCAACATAATGACTGTACTCAACTCATGTAGTGGCCCTAGTAAAAATATTCCCTGCAGCCTTGAGATTATTTGGGTGGAAGGGAGAAGAGGGGTGAGGGTTGACATTGGAATTCCTAATAGAGTATATGTTAGTGTTGGGACTTGCATGCTATGGGGCTCCTGAACCTCGGTGACAGGAGTATGCTGGTGAAAGAGTCTTTTGGGAAAAGAAAAGAAGACTCTATGTGCTCTGGGACTTTCAGCTTGTAATAGTTGAAATGTCTGTGCCTCCTACCCCAGTGGACTGAGAGAAAGTCAAGGTCAGTCAGGAACTCTTGAAACGATAGCCAGAGGTGGAAGAAATAACAACACCCTGGGAATTTGTGCCTTGCTTGGTTGTGTTTTCCTAGCTTGTTGTAAATGAGAGTCAAGTTAAGACCTGTTCATCCAATGCTAAGTGATCAGCAACAAATTTTCATTCATAATCTGTTTTTGCCTTACAGCCCCTGTGCCTTTTTCTGTACCATCTCTGTGTGATTCTGGGAATGAAATTAGTTCCAAGTTAGCATCAGTGAGAGTTCATTAGGAGGGTACTTTTTTTTTTTTTTTTCTTTGGCGAGGAGACCAATGACACAGTTTATTTTAAAACTGGATTAAGTTGCTTTTTGATTCTGAGCACCATAGTGCTCATAAGAAGGAACTGTAAAGGAAGCAAAAAGGATGGGCTTTTGATGATTATAAAGAGCCTGAGTGGCGGAGTGGTTGATCGTTCTGCTGTTAACCCAAAGGCTGGCAGTTGGAGCCCACCAGTGGCTCTGCAGCATAACGATGGGGCTGTCTCCTTCCATAAAGATTATGGCTTTGGAAATCCTATGAGGTCACTAAGTCCTATAGGGTTGCTGTGAGTCAGAATCCATTCTACCACAGTAGGTAAGATGATTATGATTTTAGTTCCACCAAGATTTAATTCCATACTTTCCTGACTTCCAGTGGAAGTTTATCCTTGCTTTCATCTTGGCATGCCATCTTGAGAAATGTTTCAGATAAGGAAAACCACATGCTGGGTGACAAGAGGAAGCAAACCTGCCAACTGGACACAGCATGCTCTCCTCTGGGCCTCAGATTGTTCACCCCTAAGAGAGAAAAATCAAGCCAGCCCTTAAGACCTTTGCACCTTTTAACACTAAGTTTGAATCCATAAAGTGCGTGAAGAACATACTACAGAGAAGCTGATGAGGGACTTGGGAGTTAGGCCACATGCTGAGCATTGTGGAACGAGGTTTGCCATGCAGAACTGCACCCTCTCACCTGTCTGCTTCTTCCCACTCAGTATGGCTATGCTCCCAAAGGCTCCTCAGTGGTGTTATACAGCGACAAGAAGTACAGGAGCTACCAGTTCTTCGTTGCTACAGACTGGCAGGGTGGCATCTATGCTTCCCCCACTGTCGCGGGCTCACGGCCTGGTGGCATTAGTGCAGCCTGCTGGGCCACCTTGATGCACTTCGGTGAGAGTGGCTACGTTGAAGCTACGAAACAGATCATCAGAACTACTCGCTTCCTCAAATCAGAGTATGTGTGGATGACTAGAGTCGGCCTTGTTGTTTGCTCCCCCCCCCATAGTAGGCTCGAGGTGTTGGCCTGCTTAGTCCCTAGCCCAGTACCATCCCTTGAGACTAGGGTTTTAGGGCAGCTGTTTAGGAGTGTGGTGCTAGCCTGGGAGGATGAACTCCCTTCCTCTGCTGTGGAGGGTCTTCAGAGCCACTGAAACCTGGATTGGTTTTATAGCCCATTTCTTTTCTAAGATGTCTGACCTAATGGCAGATCTGGGATGGGGTCTGAGGATTGGGATTTTTAGCAAGTTTCTAGGAGATACTGATGCTGCTGGTCTAAGAATCATACTTAGAGAATTGTTAGGGGGAAAAAAATGGGAATGGGGGCTGAAGAATTAGGGAAGGAAGAGTAATGAAATCTGGGATTAAGCTCAGGCAAGAGTTGGCTGAACAGTGTCTAACATACTACCTGCCTCCTTTCTCTGTGTCACTGGGATTCTGTAGACTTTCAGAATGTTTTGAAGGTGAAGGAAAGGGATCAGGAGCCATGTATCATTTGAAAAAGATCCTCATATGGTTCCAATAAGCCCGTCTGCTGAGAACCACTGTACCATTTGTTGCTTTAGAGAGTACATGTATCACTTTTCAAAACTATAGAGATGGATTATTTTTCCAGATTTTTTTTTTTTTTTAAGTATATCTTTCATGTTCAGATGCTCTTGAGGGCATGTCATGCTGTGGGGGTAGGGCAGAAAGATTAGGACCTAGTGATTCTGATCTGGATGGGCTTTGGGCCTCTAAATATTTGTAATACTCTGCCTGTGATTCTGACACACACCATAAAAACCACTGATCCCAGCCTAGCCTCCTCCTTTTAGAAGACGAGGAAACTAAAGGCCTAAAAGGCTGGATTGGTGTTACAGAGACGTTGAGTGATTAACAATATGAACCAGAGGAAGACATGTGACTGGATTGCCTTCTTTTCCTCCCTGTTTTTTGTTTTAAGGCTAGAAAATATCAAAGGCATCTTTGTTTTGGGGAATCCTCAACTGTCAGTCATTGCTCTAGGCTCCCGTGATTTTGACATCTACCGACTGTCTAACCTGATGACTGCTAAGGGGTGGAACTTGAACCAGTTGCAGTTCCCACCCAGGTAAGCTTGAAGGAGCCTCTTCCCCTTCCTTTGACATTTGAAGAACCTAGTAACCTGAAGGGAGACTTGATCCTAGAGCCAGCCCTTCAGTGGCAGCTGTAGTTATGTCTAGGATTTCTGTCCTAACACCTGACATTATTAGATATAAAGACTAGCTAAGGCCTTTGTATTTTTATAAATAAGCTTTAAACTCTTATAGTGTCCAGGTAAACTTCTGTGCAGCCTCCTGAGACCGGTGGTCAGTCATGAGATTTTTCCTCCATTCCCTTTCTGGCATCTATGTTTGCTAATCCATCTACCCACAGCCATCTGATTGCTCTTATCAAATGCCTCGTTAGCTGAGTAATATTTAGTTCAAAACCCTCCAGCAGGTCTGTAATCATTCACAGCCTGCTAATATCTTCTTTAATATGCTTCTTTAAACTAACCTTCCATGACGCCTTTGAACAAGTAATCCACACTAATAGGTCTAACTCAGTGCCCCATGCACGTACACTGTATCTTTTCACATGTTGGTACCACTGCCAGTCCCTTCTCACAGTTTCTCAATACTCCTTCCTCCATCCAGACTGAGTTAGTTTCCTCTTTGCCTTGAAGTTCAAGAGCCCTGTCCCCAGGATGGTTTGTGTCAGATGAAAGTGTCTAATTAGTAGTCACGTGGTTGAAGAACAAGCAACTGAGTATGTGAGGGAGGACAGAAGCACCTGCTGTGGCTCTTGATCATGCTGAGCAGCCTTGATGCCAACCCCATGCTCGAGAGCCCTGGTTCTCAGGACTGGGAATGGCTGGTTGATTACACTGGTCAGAACTAATGTAAAGAATTACCTCAAGTAGATACACTCCTTGGAGAGAACAATCATGGGAGAAAGAAGGGCTGCTTATGCACAGGGAGACAGCTTAGGGGGCAGGAGTGCATGGAGGGATGGACACTGGGAGGAGGTGACTATGGGGAGGAAGTGGGAGGGGAGCTGTTGCATTGTGGTAAACTGTGGTCAATGACATGAGACAAAGTATATGTGAACCTGCTGTATGGAAAGTGAGTTTGCTCTGTAAATCTTCACCCAAATCACAATTAAAAAAAAAAAAAAGAAAGAATGTAAAGAAGCAATCAGTGGATTCCTGTATTGGGGATCCTCTATTTCAGAACATTTTCTCTTTTTTCCAAGGTTCATCTCTTTCTCTCTCTCTCTCTCTCGTCTTCTCCCACAGTATTCATTTCTGCATCACATTAATACACACCCGGAATCGAGTAGCCATACAATTCCTAAAGGACATCCGGGAATCTGTCACCCAAATCATGAAGAATCCTAAAGCAAAGACTACAGGAATGGTAGGAATGCTTGGGTTTTTCACTTCCCTTAGAAGTTGAGGTGTTGGTGGGGTATTTGAAAGAATCAGATGACCTCGAGTGTGTTCCTGCCTTTGTTTCTTATCCACAGACCTCTTGCCTCTTATGTTCATTGGAGCTGAGGCTCTCTGCCTCACCCATTCCTAGGGTGTCTGGGAGTCCCAAATGAGATGCTTTATATAAAGCAGCTTGTAAACTAGAAAATGTGATACAAAAGCAGGTGGTGGTTCTTTCCATTGGAAAAGAAAATTTTGACACAAAGTCAATCAACATGTTTTCCATGTAATTTTCTACAGCAAATCCCATAGTATAGTTCCCCTGGGCAGAAAGGTGGGCTGGCTAATACCTGTGAAAAAGTTACTATGCCAGCTGACAGAATGATGCCTGGGGTGGGAATGGAGATTATATGGTGGGGGATGGAGGGAGCTGTGTGGAGAGCTAGGAGTGAGGGAAAAGGGGATCAAACCACAGCTTTCTCCTTGCACCCACTGACACTAATAACATGTCCTTGGTTGGATTTGTAGGGTGCCATCTATGGCATGGCCCAGACAACGGTTGACAGGAATCTAGTGGCAGAGTTGTCCTCAGTCTTCTTGAACAGCCTGTACAGCACAGACACTGTGACCCCGGCCAGCCAGATGAATGGCTCCCCCAAACCCCGCTGAGCCTGGACCCCTTTCAGCCCCAAGGGGCTTCTGCCCTTCAGAAGGTTCTTGGGGTATGGAACAGACCACACACAACTTTCATAGAGCACAACGAGACAAGATGACAAGATGGTCCTCAGGATTGCTGTTGTACCTTTTGTCATCCTTTCGTGGTTTTTAATTTGAAGACCTCTGAAGGATTTCATCACATAATGATTTTACCCTTGTTTAAGTGCTACCCTAGGAATTATTTTAACCATGTCCTTCTCTAACTTTTCTGGCTTTTATCTTAATCATTGTGTGGTGGCTCTGACCTGTCCTGATTCCTTAAGGAAGCTGGGGTACAGTTACGAGATAGCAAAAGGGTTTCTCGGCTGCTCAAGCACGTGTTATGGCTGGTAGATAGGAAGCATTTATGTAACATGTTTCCCTGATGGATTTTACATGTACTTGAAGCAGGAGGATTTTCGGCCCTCTTCTTAAGAAGTAGGCTTGCTGTCTCTCTTAGAGTCACTTATTGAAGCCAGTTTTCTTTTTCTAGGACATGACTGACCAGGCCATTGTTGCCCACCTCGCAGGCCTGGAGAGGTAGGGCATGTCTGCTTGGTCTGGTGGTGGGTGGCCCGGTGGCCTGTTGGTCCTCTTCTTTGCTTGCCACCCTCATCTAACACTCATTAGCCACCATCTCGGGAGATTTTTGTTTGAAGTAATGCTCCCATTGCTTTCTTCTTGCTCCCATGGACTAGGAAGAGAGCGTGGCTTCCAGAGACTCCGTGACTTTCTGGACCTGGTGCTGCCTCCTTGAATTGGCAGTGCCTGGAGCAGACCTGCACCTTCTCCTGGGATGGTGATGACCAAAAACCAGACTCTTTCTGTACTTCTCTGAGTATCAGAGTAGGATGAGCACCCAAGGTCAAATACTCACCACCAAAGTTGGTGGTGCCTCCCTCCCCATTGCTCTAAGCTATCATGTAGTGATAATCTTTCCATTGTGTTTGCTTGAAGGAACACTTCAGAGCACCTTCACGAGTTGCCTTGACTTACCTAGCTGGGTGTGAGGAGGGTGTGAGAGAACCCTCATGGCAAAGAAAATGTTCTCTCTCCATTAATGTGTTTCTCCTGCCCGTTTCCTCTTTACTCAGCCCCCAAAGGTACTATGGCCTCAGGTACTCGACATTTCTCAGCCCTGGCTAACAGGGAACACTTAAGATGAGACAAACTTTCTGGACTAGGAAAGCATGATAGTCAGTGTCAATGTGGCCTGGGGCCTGGAATCCCTTCATATGACTCATTGCTCAGGGTGGTGCAGGGACAGGACCCACCTCTGCACCCACTTCCTGCCTTCCCCTCTCCATGCATGGGGTCCCAGGTGAGCCACTGTCCTCCTCTGATGATGTCATATAGTGTGCCTTTCTGCTCAGCAGCGAGTAGTGTGCTGTTGCTGACCCAGGCCCCAGGAGAAATGAGTCCGTTCTTGAGGTTTTTATTTGGGTAGGGGAGTTCTTAGGACAAGTCAGGGTAAATGTTCCTCTGTCCCGTCCCCCTTCTCAGGGACTCCTAAATATTCAGCCTCTACAGATGGTATCCTCCAGCCTCTCTCACTGGGCTGCTGGCCAGGAGAGCCAAGCTACCCGACTTCTCTTCCGGCTCCCAGCCCATTTGTCTTAAGTGTTCTTTAGCACTGTACTTGCTACACAGTTAACTGTGACTTGCTGGCGGTCTCACTGCAGGGTTCATGTGGTAGGGTGTGTGTGTGTGTGTGTGTTTTATCCTCCTGGTTGCTCTCCAGTACACTGTGGGTCCAAGAGTGGTTGGTGTTTATGTGTGTGTGTCAGTGGGAGAGGCTGGGGTCCTTTGGACACATTTGGCAATTACATGTTTCTTCCCAGTTGCTAAAATGGTGGGCACCTCCTTCTGAGAGCATCTGCATTGGAGCTGTGCATGAATTGTCCTTTAGTCTCCAGTGCTTTGTTGCAGTGGCTGCAATGACTTGGAACCCCCCCAGCAGGCAACCCTGTCCTTTGCCAGCTGCTGAAATGGAGAAGCACATGTCCCAAGAATGTGCTAATATATCTAATGTCTGTCTCAGGACCAGACCCCAAGCCACTCACATCCTGTGTGCCAGAGCCTGGGTGCAGGGGTGGTGGTTTTCAAAGGGACCTACTGTAGGCTTTTTAATTTATAATCAAGAGCTTAAGTTTGACTTAACCATTTTTTTTAGGTTTTTCATTTTTTAATCTGTGCATGTGTTGTGTAAACACGAAGTAATACCTAGTCTGTGGCAGAGGTGGAGCTGAGTGTCCTCCCATGTTCCCAGCTGATGTCACAGCATTGGCCTCTGCAGAAACTGTACTGTCCTGTTTCTGCAATGGAAGTAGTTGCGTGACTATGCTGCCACGCCACGTTTAATATCCTAGTTTCATACTTGGAAAATGGTACTTGCCTCTCTCAATTCTTTTTTCTTGTCTTCTCTAACCTCCCCTTCCCAGCTCAGTGCTTCCTTCCCAGTTGCAGCAATAATGTCTTACAAAAGCTACTGAATAATTAAATGCCCCCAATCTCAATCACTGTGGATGGCTGCTTTCATTTGTTTACTTGGGCACGCATGGGAGGTCCCAAGTGGGGCAGTGGAAATGCTTGAACCGGCTGCTGGTGAAAGATCGCCCCCTTGTGGTGAAATGGTTGTGTGTGCCCATTGATAATGGCAATGAGTTTCTGGTTTTTAGACAGACAGCTGAGCCATATTCTGGCTAATTTCCAAGCACTTTAATAGGTAGCCAGTCGGTCTGTACACCAGAACAGTGGTCGTACTTGTTTCATACCTGTTTGGAACTCAGGTCTTTTTTTCCCTCAGGGTCAGGGCTAGGACCCTACCTTATTATTTCTGTCACCTTCATTGTCCACTTCTACTTACACCTTCATGGATTGAGCCTCTGGGGTAGTCTCCAGCCAGCTGGGCAGGTTGGCTTTGTCTAATTAAAGGATAGTAGGCCATTGCATTTAGCTTGGGAGCTGACAGAACCCATCAGTTACCTTGGCACATGTAAATTGTGGGCATTGTTGCCCATCATGAACGAGAAATGAGAAGTGATTTCAGAGGGAACTCAAGATCCAAAGGCAGCCATTCTTCATTCAGCCCAGCTCTTCATTCTGGTTTCAGCTCACTCAGACTTTCGCCAGAAGCACACTGAGCAGTGTGGTCTTTGTCTAGTGTTCTGCCAGATGGCTTGGTTTCCTGAGCACCTCCTTGCTGTTATGGTAAACACTAGGGAAAGAGGGGCCAGGCTGTGCTTGGATTGGGAGGTCTGCCTCGTCTAAGAAGTGGAGTCTGGGATGCTTCTAGCTGCTTCTGATAGCTAAGTCCCCTGCCTTCTCTGGGCTCTTGGGAGCAGCAAGCAGCTTTTCCCCAGACTCAGCAGAGACAGGAGTGTGACTGAGGCCGCCAGCTGTAGCCTGAGCAACGAGAAGTTGGGCTTCTGAGAGCCTTTTCCTGATTGGGAGTCTTAATTGCCTTACTTTCTCTTCTGTTTTCTTCTTTGTCATACTCTCTCCTTAACAGCCTCCCTGTAATTTCAGTTATGTGGGTTAATTTTAGAATAAACGTATTTATTTCTAAAACGTGTTGTTTGTGTTTTTGCCCTACATAAAGGTAGCACATATAACAATGCATGTTTCAACGCTTTGGTCCTTAATAGTGAACAGAAGTATCAAGCTGAGTCCATACCTTCCTGTCTGGTTCGGCGTCCTCTGTCTCCCAGTCCTCAGCCATTGGATCAAAGCACACATAGAAAAAAATTCAGTCAGAAATGGAGCAGCTGGGAGACCACTGGCTGATCCTAGTTGGTTCTGATATTAAGCTTTGCAGAGAAATTTCTGTTAACATTTAAAAACAAAGCCCAGTCACCATTGAGTTGACCCTCTTAGTGACCGTATGTGTATACTGATAATCTCACTAACTAGCATATAGACTAGGAAGGGGGTCCTGCTATTCTTTTATTGACAACATGTTTATTTCTCATCCACAAACCTCTGCCTCTTTTCTGGCCCTTGTTGGGGGACCAACCCACCCAACTTAGGGTGACTAAGTTGTGACATTGTTAAATGGCTGCTTCAAATGGCTCTGGCATGTGCAAGTCAGCTTAGTGCCTGGACAGTGCTTCAGGCGAGAACCCTGGAGGAAGGTTTCCTAATCTTCTTTGCATCATGAAATGGTAATTGTGTGGCATGCACCCTGGGGTAAAGGCAAGAGTGCTCCAGCTTATACCCAGCTGTGCCAAGGGCTGAGGGGATCAATCTCTCAGCGCCCTGTATCCTAATCATGGCACATCTGGGAATATTCCATCCTAGAGCAATACCAAGGAGCCCTGGTGGCGCAAGTGGTTAAGCACTTGGCTGCTCACTGAAGGCTGGCAGCACAGACCAGTCCAGAGGTTCCATGGGAAGGATGTGTGCAGATCTGCTTCTGTAGGTATTACAGCCAAGAAAATGCTATGGGGCACTTCTGCTCTGTTGCATGGAGTTGGTATGAGTCAAAATTGACCGATGGCACCTAACAACAACAGAGTGTTACTGGGCTGGGAAACAGATCTGTGCAAACCAGCCCCCTACTGCTCTGATGGCAAACAGACTGTCGGCACCTGAGCTGTGCCTGTGCCTTCTCTCCTGTAGCATAAAAGCAGCCAAACTGAAACCTTCTCTAAGTGGAAACTATAGAAACCGTCAGGATTAAGAGTATGACATGGCCTAGACTGCCCGTCTGGTTGTAGATCTCACCATACATCTTGTACGTTTGCCTTTGTCCTGTTCATGATGCTTTCCCAGGCATCACTGTCTGAATCTACTCACGTCTTTGAGGCATAAATCAAAGTCTCCTGGTTTACTCTTGTCATTAATTATGACTTTGTGTTCCCATGGTTCATTTCTTATCTTGGCATCTAACATTAACTTAATTCATCTTGCCTAGTAATAGTTAAGGAGCTCCAGTGGCACAGTGATAAAGCACTTGACTGCTAACCAGAAGGTCAGTGGTTCAAACCCACCAGCTGCTCCATGGAAGGAAGAAGGGGTGATCTACTTATGTAAAGATTTATAGCCTCAGAAACCCAAATTGGGGTTGCGGAAGGAAGATGGGGCAATCTACTTCTGTATGATACTGCCTTGGAAACCCAAGGAGGGGTCGCTATGAGTCAGGTCCAACTCGATGGCACATAACAACAACAACATGAGTTGGAAACAACTGGATGGCAGTGAGTTTGGTTTTTTGGTTTAGTAATAATTAACCATTTTCCTGCTAGATTCTTCTAGATGATAATAAACTCTTGGAAAGGTAGGGTGGTTTGGTCTACCCTTTTCCCCCAGTACCTAGAACAGTGTCTTGCACAGAGTTAAATGTTCCATTGACTCCAAATGGATTGGCCTGTAGAAAACAAGGTTTTAGAGCCTAAGACCAAGTGAGTGACATAACAGTTTTATTTGAGGCCTAAAAGCATGTGGTTTACTTTATGGCCCTGGTTTCTAAGATGAGGGTTTCATGACCCCTCTATCACAGCTTCTTGGAAAATGAATCAGAAAGGGTGCAACTGGGAAAATCATGACTTGTTGGGAAGTCTCGGGGGAAAGGGAAGAGCTTATTCAAATTAGTATATTAACAGCCCCAAGGATGAAGAGAGTGGTGCAGGGGGAAAAGTCAGTGAAGTGGTCCTCTCCTTTCCACAGCAAACACTTGCCCCCAAATGCAAGTAGCAGGATGGACTTGGCAGTGATAACTAAGCAAAGTCTCAGGACCAAGGGCTCCCCAGCTCCCCAGCTGGATTCCCCATTCAGCCATCCCTCTCGCCTGAGGAATTAAAAAGAGGAAGGACAGGGCCTATGTCATGGACACTGCTACTTGTTCGATGAAGCTGGCCAGGTTTATGTCCCGCTCCGAAAGGCCTGCACACTCATGGGTGCTCAGGGTGATGTGGACCTGAAACAAAACCAAAAGTTGAGGGCCAGCCAGCTCCACTGGTAACGCACTCAAGAGCAGGAGAGCATCACCAGCTGTCAGGCTCAGCCACACTAAGCTCTGGAGGAGTAGCTGGTCACTGCTGTCCCATGGCTGCCTTCCTGACAGCTGGTGACAGGTCTGTCACAACAGTGCAAAATTCTTCTGTGCCATCTCCCCTTGGATGTTTTTCCAAGACCACCTAAAAGCTAAAGTAAGACCAAAAGCCACCTCCAACTAAATGCTATCAATTTATAGAATCCTCTTCCAAACCTTCATGTTTGTATAAACAATTCAGCACAGCTCTTGGCACATGGTAGGCACTTAATGATGGTTTCATTAAGTGAACAGTCTGATCTGTTTGCTGTGTGTGGGTATTCTTTATTTAAGTTTATTATTTTTCCATTCTTCCATACCTTCAGAAAGACTGATGTTTTCTAGGGCAATTAATGAATAAGTGTGCATGTCTGCCACAGCCTTGCCTTCCTTGGGTTTTGTCTGCTTTAGCCACAAATATCTCACAAGTGCTTTAATGTGCATTTCTTTTCATTTGCAGGGGACTAGATATTTTCCAGGGGTGTCTGTGTTGCAATTTTGAGATAAGGAAGAGATAGACGGGACAGGTTCAGTGGACAGTCACCTTAGGAGGAGTTGGAGTTCCCATAACTTGGATGTCACTTACCTTGTTGTACACGTTAAACCATTCAGGATGGTGGTCCAGTTTCTCAGCCTGCAGGGCCACCCTTGTCATGAACCCAAAAGCCTATTAAGTGAAGAGAGACATAAACAGTTTAAGGTCATGGTGCAGGTGGACAGACTAGCCTACTGCAGGGAGGACCTTCGAGCTGTCATCACTTCCTCCTTGGCTTGAGTTTAAAGTTGCCTTTCTGCAGTTGGAAGAACGTCATATTACTAGGATCACTAAAGGATAGAGACACTAGAAAAGGTTGATTCTTGGTGAATCATTGGCCATCTGTTCAAATGTCCTCAGGTCTACATCTCTGCTTCTAGGCAGGGCCCTAGAATCTCTGAAGCTCTTTCCTAAGAGTTCCAGGTAGGGAAAGCCCAGCACCCATTTCCCCAACCCCCAAGAATGACACTTCTGAGTAAGTTAGGGAAGTTAATTTCCCTACTGGCACAGTACCTAAATAAACTGGGTTAGTGTCATGTCTGAGAGTCACGCTACCAAGACTTTTAGGGAGAGAAAACGTTCTGGAATGTGACCCCATCAGCCTTAGTCTCAAAACTCGGTCCCACCCTGGTCACAAACCCTATTGAAGTCTTTGAAATGGAACTGCTTGAAGATGGCATCGCGGCCTTCCAGTTCATTCCACCCCACAGCCCTCAGGTTTGGTAGTAGTTGGTCCCTCTCCTCGGCGCTTAGCCTGTGTGCTTTGCCAGCCTGGGAGAGAAGAAAACAGAAAGACCTGAGAACATTATTTGTATAGTTTAAACGAGAAGGCCCAGACCTTTGGGGGAATGTCGCCACCACTGGCTGCTCTGGACACTTGGTGACAAGGTCAAAGGGCAGCTAGTCTTTAAACAGTAGATTGGGAGGCCTGGAGGGTTGGGCCTTGCTGAGGAGGTGGGGCCCTTGCTCATTCACTGATAGGTTCTTAGGTTTTGGGTTTTCCACTCCACCCAGAGAAAGAAAAGTCCATGAGTGAAACACATGGGAAGCCATTTGAGAAACAAACACTCCTCCCGTCCTTCCAAAAATCTTAGAGGGTGCCCTCTCCCAAATTAAGGTAACATTAACAAGAAAGTAAAAGTAACAAACCCAGATGCAGGTATGGGTATAATACAATGTTAGGAAGAGTACCCCCAATTCTCCAGCACTCCGTATTATCTGTCTTTTCTAGTCTACCCCCAGGCCCCTGTCATTACTAATTTTAAGGTGTATTGATGAGGAAACTAAGGTCTCCAACTAAACCAAACCAAACTCACTGCCGTTGAGTTGGATCCAACTCATAGCAACCCCTCCTTGGGTCTCTGCAGTGGTATCACTACAGAAGCAGATTGCCAATCTTCTTCTGAGGAGTGGCTGATGGGTTTGAACTGCCAGCCTCTGGTTAGCAGTCAAGGTCTAGGGAAGAGAAGTGGCTTGTCTCTTGTTCCCTCACGTCCCTACCCCTAGTCAGTGACAGCACAGGCAGTATTCTCAAGGTAGTCTGGGGAGACCTGCAGCAGAAAGATTCCTAGGTCCTGCCCAGACCTAATGAAGTGGCATTCTTCAGTGGGGGCCCAGTAAAGAAACTAGCATTTCAAACCAGTTTCTCAGGTGATGCTTAGCACACTGAAGTTTGCATCCACTGGCACTACCTCTAGTAGGTACTGTCACTCTCATCAGAAAGCCTCTGGGCCCAAGTTACTGGGTTTCAGTTCCTTAGACTTTCCATCTTTTCTATGCGGGCAGCTCCTGAAGCCTGGGCCAGAGCTCAAGACCCCAAAGTGGGAGGAACTTGACCAAAGGCAATTGGCAAGCCCTGTGCTCCACCCGAGGTACTTTCTGTGCCCTCGGGCAGCCCAAAATGACAACATTCAGGCCAGGAGTTGATCCCTCAGAGAATACAGGAGCAAGGTCAGCTCTACTATCTAGGAGGTCTAGGTCTAGGAGCTTTAAGGGATCCCAGAATTGAGAATCCAACGACAGAACGAGCCCAAGACAGACACTGATAAAATGTTAAACTGAAAATGAATCCACTAAGTCTGGGAGACTGTGGGTGTTAAATGGGTCCGTGACCCACAGCCTAGCAGCCCTGGGTTGAATTGGCAGGACTGGTTCAAGTCCCAGTTCTGTTATTTATGAACCCCATGGCACTTCACCTCTTTTGGACTCGTGGAAAAGTGGGACAAAAACCTCGACAGATCAGCGTGAGGAGTCGATGGAGTACACTACACTGTAACTGCATTTACTAAAGACTTCCTTGGGTGAAGTGGGCTGGTGATGGGCCTGGCAGGGTTTGGGTAGACCTGGAGGGCACTGCCATGCTTTGGTAAGTCAATCTTTTCCTCTCCCCTGAAAACTGGTGTTCCCTTCAGATTGATGAGGTTTGGCTCCTCTTTCTTCAATGGTTAAAGAGATGGCCGTATTTACTCAGCATCATTCACCGAACCCCATCCCTATTCTAGAACTTGCCCTTATCAGTGCTAATAAGCCTGGTCCATGTATCCAGGCAACCAGATGGTCGGAAGTCAGTCCAGGCATTCAAATCCACTGTTTACTGCTTTAGCTCTGAGAAGGGAGTGGGTACTGCTGAGCTCCTGGGAGGACCTCCTTTTTCTTTAGTCTTCTGAAAATCCCCACTGCCCACAGCCTACGGGATCAGATAGGGGGATGGGGCCATGTTTGCTTACTAAATCAGTCAAGCCTGGACTCTGCCTCTGGCCTGGGGGGGAGGGTGCAAGCAGAGGGTTACTGATTATCTGCCTCCTGCGTCTCTGGGGGCCTCGTCACCACACACAAACAGCCTTACTCACTCCCCCCATCCCAAGTCAGTCTTCAAAAGGCCCTCCCAGTTGTCACCGACGTCCTAATGCAGATTCCTAGGCCCTGCCCCAGACCTAATGAATGTGTTTGGGCTGAAATAGGCTTTTAGTAAAACTCCCTCGTTGCCCCCTCGGGTTTCCACGGTCACTTCCCTGGCTGAGGGCTGCGGTGTTGACGCTGAATCAAGGGCCCAGATCCTCTTGGCGGGGAGCTCAGGCAAAATCGATGGTCCTGAACCAATTGTGCCCCCACTGCTGGGCACAGACCCGAAAGTGAACGCCAGGGGCCAGCTGACGCTGTACCCAGGTGAGGTCAGAAGTGCAAGAAAGGAGGCGCGATACACACACGCACAGGCACACATAAAATCAGTCTCCTCCCGAAATACCCCCCAATATGTGACAGAACCGTGCCGCTAACCCGGACTACATCTGCTGGCTCACTAGGAAGCCCCTCCCCCACGTCCTCTGCTCCTACCGCCCCGCCCCTAGCACAGCGGCGCGGAGGGAGCACTGGCCTGGGGGTCTGGGTCAGGCCTGTGCTCCGGATCGCGGGTGCCTGGCCCAGCGCTGCTTATCTGTGCGCCTAGCTTGCCCTCAAGCACCGCGAGGTGCAGGGAGCGGGCCGTGAACTTCAGGCTGCCATGTGAGACCCGGAAACGCCGACCTCCCAGCGCGGAGCGCGGCGGATCAGCAGGCACTCCCGAGGTCCCCCTCCACTCCCGCCCTCGAGGCCGGTCTGGGCCGGGACCTCACTGGCCGCCTTCTCTCTTCTGAGCCCCAGCGGCTGGCCTCCCGCGCCCCGCCCTCCCCTCACCATGTCCGAGCGCGGTGGGACGCGGGCGAGTGGTAAGCAGGTGGCCGGCTGGGAGTCGAGAGCCCCTGCCGGGCTCACTAGGTGAGCGGCCAGGCGGAGTCCGCTCCGGCCGCTCCCAAGCCCGCCCCCAGCCGGGGCGGAGCCTGCAGCCAGCCTTTTCTCCTGGGCGGGACACTTCGACCGCGGTAATGATTGACGCTTAGGCAGACGCACTCGCTTGGGCTCAGCTCCCCTCCAGCACTTTCCTTTCCTCTCAGCGCTGCTGTACTCGGCGCGATTGTTCTAGGGAGTTTAAGGGGTAAGTACGCGGGTTACAGGAGCAGACTTCTGGGTCTGAACCCTTCTCTGCCCCCTTAGCAGCTGCGCGATCGTACACACAAGATGACTTCACTTTTTCTTTTTTAAAAAAATGTTGAGGTACAGTTGACGTACAATAAACTGCACATATTTAAGGTGTACAGTTTGATAAGTTTTGACATATGTGTGGCCCTGTCAGACTATCACCACAAATTATGAATATATCCGTCACCCCTAAAATTTCCGTCTTGCCCCTTTGTAGTCCCTGCCTGCACCTGTACCTACTGATTTGCTTTTTGTCACTGTGGATTAACTTGTATTTTCTATAATTGTATGTAAATGGAATCATATGGTATACAATCTCTCTCTTTTGGTCTGGCTTCTTTCAGTCAGCATGATTGTTTTGAGGTTCATGCAAGTTGTTGCAGGCATTGTTGTAGAGAATAGGATTAAGAGGATTATTCAGAAAAACTAACAAACACAACAAGGTACATTTTAATGCAAGGAGAAACCAGCCTACATAAGTGGAAACTGATGACTTCAACTGAAGAACTTCGAACAAAGACAGATATAGTCCAGGGAACAAAGAAAATAAAATATAGCCATTTGATTGGTTAGTCTTTAATTTCAGTCGCAAGGAGGATGGGTTAGAGGCACAGAATTGGCTTCTATTGGACAGTTGAGCGCAGAGGCTTGCAGGGATTGGTTTCAGGGACTAATTATGTTGTTGTTGTTGTTGTTAAGTGCTATCGAGTCGTTTCCAACTCATAGCGACCCCATGCACAGCAGAACGAAACACTGCCCGATCCCGCGCCAGCCCAAC